GTTACCCCGTTACCCCGTTACCCCTAACCCCGTTACCCCGTTACCCCGTTACCCCTAACCCGTTACCCGTTCCCGTTCCCGTTCCCTAACCCGTTCCCGTTCCCGTTCCCTAACCCACGCTGGCGCAGGCCCTTCGCGCTAAGCCGACCCATCCCCCTTGCCTAGCGCCACGCAGGCCTCACACAGCCGCACACAGAACTTCCCCACCTTGCACAGACTAAAAGGCAGACGAACCTCACATGCTCACCCCATCCAGCGGGGAGTATTGGTGTATTCTAAAGAAAAGACACCCTGCTTCCTAGAAAATAATACTTCAAGCTGGAAGAAGAGGAAGAGGAAGAGTGTTGGAGTGCTAAGAATCACTAAAAAGAGTGCTAAAGGCAGTCGTCAGGTGGTGTTAGTTTCGACACAAAAGATGTTTAAGACCGTGTTTGACCATTCAACAAAAAAACATGCCAAGCACTCATAATAAAGGTGAAAAGTATGCAGAGACGAAATACCCAAGGAAATCCCTCAATCCTACTTTCAGCTTAATTTTTCATTAACATTACATAGGTGTGTAGTAAAAGTTTTTTGGGGTGATAGGCTTTAGTTAAAAAAATTGCTGGAGCACATACTCTTACATCATAAAAGACATTTATTAAAGTATTATATTCATCTCAAAATAACACAGTACGAAATATGATAGAGAAAAAGCAGACGAAGCACGTCATTGCGTCGTATGGACACAACTTAACATTCTTCACCAAACGATGTTAATCATTACACGTCCATCTGATGTAAAATAAGACTTCGGTAGATGGAAAAACAAGCATATCTACTTACTCGTTAGCACAATAACTTCTTTGATATGACTACAGTGGGTTTGAAAAAGGGTGCATTGCTTACAATAAATGGCATTAGAAGTAATTCATTTAAAGCTATAATTATTAAATATAGAAACTAAATTTACACACTGTGTCTCGTATAGCAGCAACGCTTATTGCAAAAAAAAAAATCTCTGCCCTACACCACGACGTTGAACTATATTATTTTACATAAATAACGTGCTGTTCCAAGTAGGAATGCGATTGAAGTCCTCTGGCAAACCACATTAAGTGTTTAGAGTGATAAGACGGATGATTAAGAAGTAAATAAAACCATATAACTTGTCGACGCTGTTGTAGAATTTCATATAAACACAAACAGGGAGGGTGTATCCCTAGAACCTATCCTGGATGTGCTTACTTTCTTCGAAAACGCTAACCCAAAAGCCATTTCGTACTCGCACAAACTTTCGAACTATGCTGCCCTATAGGGTAAACTTCACTAAACTTGATAGTGCATTAAAGGAGGGTATGCTGGTGCATGGGGAGTGGAAAAGCAAGCTGTCTCGTAAATCTCTCTCACCTTTCGGACCGTTCCTTCAAATGGAAGCCACATTTGACGTAGTAGGAGTCTCGAATGATGGAGTGATTCGTTGACAAAAACAGTGGCACGGATGCCAGGTACTCCATGCCCTGATACTTTGCCTCTGGATTTCGCACTGCTCGCATAATTCGCTGAGCGCCGACGTGACCATGACGCATTTGCTTCAATTTCGTAAAACTTTGACTACCACCGGGTGCGTGGGAAATAAACGGGTACGAGTAGCGCGTCGAGTCGTTGACTGTGTTCTTTTGTCTTGGCCTGATCTCCCAAAGTGGTGGCGTGAGGGTGATGTGGGCGAACATGGTAACCTTTTGCCCTTTAACACACCCGGGCACCGCAAGCTTTGTGTAAAATTCCCCGCTGTTGTCGGCATACGCTCGCTTGTGAAGGCGACGCTCAAAACGGCTCATTTCTCTGAAACGATTTGAGTTGTTCAAGTGCGGATGCTTGGGACTATCCTTCAACAGGTGCTCCTTCGAGTGCTCATTGTATACCCAGGACGCACTATGGTATTCTAACTCACCAGAACCCGTAAACGTATTAGCGAAGCCTAGCCCGATTAACCCTGCACGCATATCGTAAGGGGACCGTGCCCCCTGCCGCTCATGCAATGGCATCGAGAAGACGTCCCGCTCGACCTCCCACGCTATGAGATCCAGAACTAGCGCAATGTAAATGGACTCATCAGTGTCCCATTCCGTTTCGTTTCGATATGGTAGGGTTTGCGTCCTTGTGAAATTAGAAGCCTTCTGTAGGAACTCCTTGTACGCCCAGACGCGGGCAACTACGACACCTGAGTTTAGGTGGCGATGCGGGGATAGGCCAAGAGGCAAGGTGAGCTCATGCTCTGGATGTGCCGCGGCATACTTCCTCACCTTCTTGTAAACGGCTTCAATGCCAGGTTTGGAATTATCATGATTACTGCATAAATTATGTGTAACCCAGACAGATTCCATGCCAAGTAGGAGTGGTGCCATCGCGCGGCCCTGCCGCACCGCCAGTACGTCCAGCTTTTCGGGCGTCGCGGCGGACTTCTTGATGAAGCGTTTCAGGAATGGGTTAATATCCGAACCTGTGAAGAATGCGTCTGAATCGATCACAATAGCCACGTCTTCTGGATGCAGCTCCGCATTCTTGATGGCCGCTTCCATGAAATCAAATTTGGATTGAATTCCATCGAACGGCATATCGTAGCCGGCCACTACCACGGGAAATCCGTTTAGGTGGGCTGAGCCCGCAGAATAACAAACGGCATCATCTATTTTGTTACTCATAACGAAAACAACCACGCGAGGCGTTTTGGAGTGAACAAACATTTTCCGCCACGCGTTGAGGTGAAGCATCGAGTTTAGATGAGGAGCTTCATCTGTTTTTTCAGCGAAAACTAAGTATAAAAGCATTAAAAGCCCGGCGAAGAACCCAGCGAGAATTGACTGCGGGAGACGAGCCGTCAAATCCTGACTATATAACCAGTAATTTATCCAAGCGATGAATAATGTCATCGTTTCAGGTTCTTCGTTGAGGTGGCCGATCAGAATTCGGGATTTATCCGAGTAAATAAAAAAAAATGCAAATTATCTTTATTTCTGAACAAATTTAAGCGCGTCGAGTGGATAAAAAGCGGAATTTTAAATAATTATAGCACCCGTTCTAAATACAGATAAAGTATGAAGTGCATACAGTCAGTAATTTCCATTTTGAAGACAGTCTTTTCGTCCAAAATCTTTATCCGTATTAAATTATTTGCTCCTGGCATCACTTGCAGTCACACCTTTAAATGGAGAAAGGCAAAAGGGGTTCGGACAGGGGCTCAGAGCACCCCCATATCCTAGGCAATGGGAGGCGGCACAACCTTCAAACTAACAATCCACGAAAATGTGGAGATGGAATGGAAAGTGCTCAACGTGTGCGTGTCCTTCCGGCTGAAGATATCACAATCTTTTCTTCTCCAAAGTATATCTCCGATGAGGTAAAGGGGTGAAAATGTCTAACTAGAGTCCCGGAGAAGGGGAATGTTGCCGTGTAAGGCACGGGCGTCGGACAGCGTCCACACATTTCTAACTCACATGGGGGGTGCAATGAGTGCGCTCATCCTCAAGCCAAACTTCCCCACATCTCAATAAAAAAAAAGGGGGTGAGATCTAAGCCTTTGCGCTGGATTTAAGAAGCGAGTTTCATGAATCAAAATAAGACGAGGACTTAATGTGGAATCGGCAAAGGTATAATCTCTGTCGATAGGATCCCACTTCAATCCCAACGGATTCTAAAAAAGACAGGCGAGAAAGCCACTGGGTCTGTATTCTTGCAGCGCAGTCGTTTTGGTTTCCCCAATAAAAGTGATGTCTATCGGATGAGTCGATTGACGACACAGCAATAGACACGGATCATGAAATACGGTCCACTTTCTCGCCTGGCTCTCCCTTCCTATTAGAAACAGCTGAAGACAGCGTGTAGAGAGAAAATCGGCTAGAAAGATAGATGCTCGCCAATAGGGATTAACGCGAAATCATCCTCGCTAACATCCTCCGCGTCCAAAGCCGCCTTCAAATCTTTTTGGGGATCATCCAGTGCATCATTCCCGAGCTGAAATGTGGCCCAATGCACAGCAAAAGCTTTGGTAACATTAAGAATCTTAAATATTTGAACAGCAAACGCTGGATCGATGTGTTGCTTCGACAAAAACCAGCGCGGCTTATATGCACCGATGGGAATAGCGGCCATGCTGATATGATCATACTGCGCATGAATGATATCAAAAACACACTTATTAAATGCGGTATCGCCTGGAAAGTAGAAAACCTTGGCTTTAGACCAGTCCATCACCCGAAGCGACGACCCGACTGCAGCAGAACAGCGGACAGGATCAAGTGCCCCGTCGGCTGTAGTCGCGGGAGACGATCGCACAAGGTCAGTTGCCTGCCAGCCGATGCACCAGCCACACCAAAGGACTTGATTTGAGTCGAAGAGGCCGCGCCGCCCATAGTGCTGAGCGGGCGTACAGCCGATGGCGACGTCCCTCAGCAAAATCTCATCCTGCCAATCCATGGATATAATGGAGGACTTTGGGATGCCCCACTGGGTGAGATGGGTGTCCATGCGGAGAGGCACCACAAAAATAACATCCGGGTTTCGTCTATAGATGGATCGTAGACTTTTCTCGTCTAGGTGATCGTAGTGATTGTGCGATATGGTGACGATGTGGATCGGTGGTAGATGCTCTATGGTCGTTCCAGGCGGGTAGCACCGTGCTGGACCGATAAAGCTCAGCGGGGAGCAGCGCTTCGAAAAAATAGGGTCGAACAGAATGTTCGTCCCACTCTTTAGGCAGAGGAGGATGCTAGAGTGTCCAATCCAAAATACATGATCCATCTGAGACGTGTTGGGATCCTGACGAAGGCTTTGCAAAACCTCCGCTGCATTACACTGTCGACTCCAGATCTGACCAAATTTCCGGTATGGCTCGCGCGAGAGATTTCCGAGTTGGGCCCAGAAGTGTTCCACAAAAAACCTCAATGAGGGGCAAAAAGGGACGACAAACGGCTCTGTGGAGAGAAGATTCTTGAACAACTTTCCATTTTTAGAGCGGTTTGAGAAACAGGATCCGAATTCAGCGGCTTGAATATCTTGCATTTTAATTGCTGTAAACGAGGGAGTGGTGAAGAAGGAAGAAGAAAATGGGGATGGGAAACCCAACAGGCTTTGTCATTGGGGTCAGTGACATAAACTTAAAAAGAAAAAAGAAGCAATCCAAACAACTCTACTTATTAAATAGGATCATTTTATATGCAAAGGAGATTCCAGCATTAAATAAAAATAGTAGATCTGTCTAACTGACAGGCACACCGCTATTGACCTTTAACTCGACTAACGAGATGAATTTTAATCCAATAGCTTGGGCAGCTTTACCGTTTTGTAGCCATTATAGATATAATTGGATGGCACTTCACAACCTGAAACTTCAACCAAACTGAATGATCGAATGGTGGATTCGAAGATGCCGATAAGAAACAGTGCTCCAAACGGCTCGAATGAAATCGCACACGAAATCCCCTCGCAAAAGAGATCCTTCTCGTTCCGTTGGTAACAGGCACCATCTTTTGGATTTATTTTCTGCGCACTTTGCCTTCCGCAACTGGCGTCATCCTTGTCACCTGTTACTAGACCTTTCTCCAGCGTAAATCGCCGCTCGCATCGCAAGAGGATCTCCGGCTTGTCGTACAGGTGCCATTCCCTCACAAGACCGTCGTCGTAGCCACAGGTGACAAAAATGTCAGGCTCGCGCAGGCGACAGAGGTGGCGACCGAGATGGCACGGAGGGGCATTACTGTCAGTGGCCAACACCGGAACGTACATTTCCGTTTCCGGTTTCCACATCCAAACCATGGACTTACCATCCGGTCCACTAGACACAATACGATTGTTGACCTGCAGGACTAGAAGTGCAAAACAACTCATACCCGGCATCTTCATAAAACACAGAGGATAAACAACAGGCTCGACACAGCACAGCGGCACGCGGAGGTCATTGCTAAGTTCCCCCCCTTCATCGAAGCGCACAGTAACTACGGAGTTGTGTAGCAGCGACCCTAGGGGCTCCACTACCGATTTGGTTTCACCGTTAAGCCGTAGTGCGACCTCGTTGCATACAACCCCGACCGCTGCGCCTCCAGCAACTTTGGTGCCATGCTTCGGCTTCCATTTGCTCATCTGGGCACCATTAGAAGCGTGAACGGATTCACCCGCTTTATTCAGACTAGGCGGTCGGACCCCGCTTTGGGGTTGCTGGGATTGGTGGTGTTGCTCACTGGCCAGAAGATACCGCTTCATGTAATCCGCCTCACGAAGCCACACGTGGTGATTGGCCAGCCTCGAAGCGCGCGAACGCACGGTCTGTAGCGCCCTCCCGTGGTTATGGTTCGAACCCGCAAGCAATCCATCATCCGGGCTTTCCACCTTCTGCATCGCTGAATGAACATCCCGCTGCGGCTGCTTCTGCTCTGCAAGAAGAAGCGGCACCAAAGGGGTACACGTGTTCACATCCCAGCAAAGCGGGTGTGTGGAGGACGCCTCCGGATCGGCCTCGCCGCCGCACAGCGGTTTCCAGCTCAGCTTATCAATTGACCATGCAAAGAGGCCACTATCCGTCCCTGCCAGGAGCCTGCAGTCGCCATCCAATGCGAGACAATAAATAGGGGACCGAAACTCACGGGTCGTGTTGTGCTTGCTGACGTCTTCCCGGTCCACCATGCCTAGAGACGAGTGCACGCTGGTCCGGTTGGGACTGGCCACAAGCACATGAAGCAGGGTGTATTCCTTTTTGAGGACATCTACCCTCCACAAGCGCACTGTGGTGGCATCATCACCCGTGAAAACGTAAATCGCAGCGCGCTCCTGATAACACAACGACCGCCTAAAGACGTCCTGAGCCGACTTCTCCTCATCAGAGTGCACCGCGTCCAGAGCCACCTGATCCGATGACTCCATGCGGCTTACAAACACACCTCCTTCCCAGAGTTTCAGACAACGCAGGGCCCTTGGATGCGGAATACACACAAGGGGAGTTGGCACGGGATGAAAAAAGCTCATCGCCACGGCTCGGTCCGCCGAAGCCGAAGCAACAATAGTGCCGTTATGATCCAGTGCCAGGACCAGTTCTTCCCGCGCGTGTCGGTGTAATAAACGTCGGGCACAGCAGTGCGCAGGGACGCTGTCCGGTGTTGGCGGCTGCGGGGCAGGCTTCAACTCGGAAACAAGGCCTGGAAACCGTTTCCCGTGGCGCTCCACCAACACCCGCAAGAAATGGATGGGCAACAGGGGAACCGCGAACAGATGCCCATTGTCGGTTCCAGTAAAGAAGTACTCCACTTGTGTGAATGCACTAATCGTCTCATGATCCTCCATGATGCAGTTTACGGCGTCCTCCAAGGCACACAGCGTTCGACCTCGGATGTAAAGTGTTGCCTGCTTGGATGCCAACGATGCAAGACCCACGGCAGCAGTGCTCGCGCGTCCTCGCGTGAGAGCGAGGGAACGAGGGTGTAATCGAGTGAAGAAAGGTAGTTAAAATCGTGTTCATTAAGTGTGAGATGCTCTCGCTCAGTGCTATCCGATTGTTGCTGAAGAAAACATGGCGTTTCCACTACACACCCTGAGAGCGCATAGTCGGGTAGCCGTTGGATAGAAAAACATCCACGATTCGACCACATTCGCCTCACAACTCGTTTGATCTACCTAAGCCGCTAAATGCAACCTTTAAATCAAACCTATCGAAGGAAATGTGAAGTATTTTTTCACTTATAGAGGCCTTTTGATCATGAAGATCAAAGATAGGGTGAAGATAAACGTAGCCCACCGGTTTTTATTATTTAACCTATTTGAACTTTCCCCACATCTCATTCCATTCCATTTGTTGTTTCAGGTCTAGATTTCCCATAGAAAAGTATCATGTGCATTTATAACTAGGGAGCGAACTCGCATGCCGCTTTCCCATTAATGCAAACTACTAAATCGAACAAACAGGAAGGCTTCGACCCTTGTTGAGATTCCCGCTTAGATCGGCTTTTTTCCACATCGATGTAATTATTATTAAAAAAAAAGAAATGCGTATAAAACTATTAACAAGCCACATGATAAAGAACCAATTTATCAGAACCCAACCAATACAGGTCACTGCATGGATCAGGGACTCTATGCGCTTCGGTGTAGGAAGTGGGGAAGAGGGAAGGTCTCTCATGAAGTTAGTATGCGAGACAGGAGAGCCCGCGTAGAGGCGTACAAAGTGGACAATAACTCACTTCGTTGGGTCTTTCCATGGGGAAAATTTTTCCTGGGAAGAAGCATATCGTCGATATAGAAAAGGTAGCGACTCGCCACGCCACACGGCAAAACGCCTGTGCGGTGGCATTCTTCTAGCTGACGTGCCACGTAGCTACTTTGCATCTCCAGCGCGGTGGCGCCGTGGACAACGTGATAAAACGTGAGCGCCGGCAGGCTCTGTAGGACGAACCCTGGAAGCGTGACACAGACCCCACGATGAAAAGCGGTGGGCGAAGATTTCTCAAAAAACGGCTCGAGGTCCTCTACGCTCAAGCTGGTTTGATTGCAGTTCCGGGCTTCGTCATAGGAGTCCTCACCAAAGGAGCGTTTCGAAAAAAGAAGCTTCGAGGGTAGCACGACATCGCCGTGATTCCCCTGTAGCCCTGCAGCCTTGCCAAAGAGGTTCACGCTCCGGATACGACTGCCAAAGCTCAACAAGAGTGATCTTAGGATGGCCTCGACCTGGGCACCGAAGGTCTTGTCTACGTTGATGATGAAATGAGGCTTGGATGTATTTGCCTCTTTTCTTGGCCCTTCAGCATACGGAATAAGGGCCGGATCCATGTATTTGGGGTTTATCTTTCGGATATCAATCAAGTCAACGATAAGAGCGGAAGAATGCACGTCCTCCATAAGCGTGAAGCCGTTCAACTCCAGGCTCGCACGGTATGACCGTCGCACAGCCACATCTTTTTCAAGAAGAGTCGTGAGCATGTAGTAGTATCGATCCGATGGGTTTCTCCACACCCCACCCGCCATCGGACGTGGGGTTGAGGCTTCCGCTCCATCTGTGGGGCTTCGACTGGCCACCAATTTTTTCAATTCCGTTCCCATTGCACAGAAGAGGTTCCTGAGCACGCGACTGGACGAGAACAAGATATCCACCACAATGTCCGTGGGCAAACTGAGGTCGTTAGACAACCCCAATGCTTTCTTAATTTGTAGGGCGATAGAAAGACCCCAGGTTGTATATGCATCTTGGAAAAACTGCCTGGAAACGGTTGGCCCGATGCGGATCACGTACTCCTCACGGTGCTGGAGAATATTGTACAGCGCGGTTACCACGTTCGCACCCCAAGTGCGCTTGAGTGCGTCCTTTTCACGTGGAGAAAAGGGAAGCCGCTCAAGTGCGTGGGACGTGTCTCCTCCGGAGGTCTGCCGCGACAATTCCTCGCGCAGAATTTCAATCGCGGAAGGGGAGACCAGCTGCTCAAGGCGCATGCATATCTTTCGGGACTCCACAATGAACATGCAAAGCGTGGAGACAAAGTCAATGGGATCTGTGAAGCCGTCACGCATCATGATGAAGGTCTGCCCCCCATCAGCGAACGTCCAGGCGCAGCGCCGACGCCTTCCTGTATCGACGGTAAGGGTATTAGGAACCATCCCTCGGCGCATATTCTCGGTGACGTCCGCAATGAACTCGTTGGAGATAAAGTTTGATAGCAACGACGCGAGGACGACAATATACGTCGTTGTGATGTTCATAGGAAGACGACGAAGACAATAGCACAGAGCCTCCCCATCAATCTCCTTGGAGTGAATAAGTCTGTGCTGAACCGTTTCACTTTGCTTATAAAGCCCCACGAGGGTCTGTAATGGAAGAAGGTACCCTTCCCCCTGATGGATCTCGCTTTTCCTAAAGGAGGCAGATGAAAGGCCGAAAATCGATCGCGAAAAGTCTTTGAATATCGTGAATGCAGGCAGCGTTTGGACGATGCTACTCGAGACACTGCTTGCGAATACGGGCGATTGTGAAAAGAGTGCAATGAATTTTTCCTTGGGAATCAGCAGCAACGTACTCCGGGTACTGGCGTGGTAGGTAAACTCGACAGGGCTCTCGAGGATGGCATTGTCGATCCCGAATACACTGGCGGAAGTGATGCTACCAACGCGGCGATGACCGAAGGCGCGTTTGATTCCCTTTTTAGAGTTCATCACTTCAACACTGCCGAAGGCGACTACGTAAATGTGTTGCAGTAGTTGCCCCTCTTCAATAATGATGTCAAGCTCACCATACTCACGTACCATTACATCAAGCTCGGACAGGTGTTTCTCGGAAAGCGTAAAAAGATGCGGAACGATCTGCAGATATCGCTGCATCGAAAACCGGTTGGAGAGCATTGATAAAGGTTTTGTTGTGCTGAGGATGTTGGGAACTTCTTGAAGTGGTTCTGTAATGGAAAAAAACTCATCCGCGAATTCATTCGAGTCGTAGTACACCTCCTTATTGGCTTTAGTGTCGCTCGGAGGTAGAACTTCGACCTTGTTTACCTTGTTGGAATTGTCAGTCGATAAGGCACTCATCAACCGCTTTGGTATCCTGAGCGTTACTAAGTGAAGGTATGCCGCGGTGCAGAAGGGGATGTAGGTTTGCGGAGTCTTTTGTGATATGTGCTATGAAGTTCTTACCAACGACATTGGAGAAGGCGAAAGGAGGATATTATGTCAAAAAGAAAAGCTGGATGGTGTCCACATCAGATGTTCAACGCAAATAGGCGCGACATCCGTTTGTCGTATAGAGTCCATCGCTTTACAATTTTCACCCTACCGATAAAACAATACCTGCGCATGTTTCATCCTCTCAGATCCCTCCGTTCTGCTCTCGTCATGAACATCAAAGATAGCGCATCCAAAAAAAATGGACTAGTACGTGGGAAAGATTTCAAAACTGTGATGCTGTCATAGATGCGTGTAGTTCCGAGGTTCTCTGGTGCTCCAGTCCTTAGCGTTCATTCCGAGATCGTTTCGAAAATGCTCGTTGTCGAATAATACTGAGAGCATAAGACTCGGTGTCATCAAACACGCTCTCCTCCAAGCCACGAGCATGCTTTCCCATAAACAATTTCAGTTCAGCATTTTCTTCCGCGTGATTCGAATTGCGTAGAAGGAGATGGGCAGGTGAGTGAATGGAAAGAACAAGCTCACTTAACACCTTTCTCCGTATGTTCATGGGTTGACTATCCGGAAGCAACGATACGGCACGGATCTTATCCCCATCCCATTGGTCTATCAGCGTACTCTTCAGCGAGCACCCATCGATGGCCAGTGTGGTAGGAGTGTGTTGGGAGGACTCAGGGGGTAAAACTGACGCGAAAAACGCGGATGCGTTTTCCGCCAAAGGCGGCTTGGGACGCACACAGATGGACTCACTGTTAACATGTGAGCACCTCCGATGCCGACTCGTATGCTGCAAAACTGAAACAAGAAAGGAGAGTCCATCGGTTCGACGTTTTTGGGATTTCTTCTTGGAGTCAAAGCACTCCATAAGCTTGCCAATGTCACCTGTGTTGCAGTAATCTAAAATAAGGTCGAGCTGGGTGGTTAGGGTGAGTGGCGGCCTTTCTGTGATCTTCAGCCCCTCATTGATAAAAGGACTCATTACCTGAAAGGCGATGCCCAGGCACTTTAGCAGTTGTTCGGACATGACCACGTTAGCGCTTTTGAGGAGCATTTCTAGTATGACTCGCAAAGCGTTGCATAGTTTTTCAATTCTGTCATAATTTCCTAAAGAGGAAGCGTGGTCTAGGGCAAGACGCAATGCAGACACTCGGCGCCGATCCCCTTTGGTTCCGACGTCGGTGCAAAAACAGGTCGGTAATCCTGTCTCAACAATGGCAGTCTTGTCGAACCAAACAATTGCACCATGCGCATAGGTGTCGATTGCCTCGGCCAAGTAGTCTACGCGCTGCGTCGGAGATAGCAGCAACAGAAAAGGAAACTTAGACTCGATTTCTGCAAGCTTTGTCTGCTTTGTCTTCCCAACAGTCGTGGCAGACGCCTGCATGATCCACAACACGATCTCCCTTTTAAGCATTTCAAAGGAGCTCTCAAGAGAAATCGATTCAGATGCCTGCACAGAATATGTTGTCAGAGAGTACTGGAAGAAATCTCCCGAACGCTGTAGCAGTAGCCGCGAGGAAGGCGCAGATACGTGAAGAAAACCTAGCAGGTTGTGGATGCGTTTCTTATGCAAAAGAAAATGCTCACGATTGTTGATATGCGCACGTACCACTCCTGGAGTCTGATTCGGCTCAAAAAATGCAATTGGATCCCCCAAAACCGGTAAGCAGCATGGCATAGCTCCACATGAGATGCGAGAGCTCCACTGCACTGTGTCGAGGGCATTGCTGCTATATTCAGGCAGATAGTCGTTTATGTCACTTTTACTGGCCGCAATTTCGTCGATGACAGACGAGGTTAATTTAACAAGCACACTGGCAACATCTTGGGGGGATAACGTGCATGCATTAGGCATTACATGAAGGAAAAAAACTTTGCAAAAAAAAAAACCTTAAAGGAACAGATAGAGTATAAATTCTAAACCTCCACATTAGGACGACGCTGAGTGGAAATCGTCGAGCTGACGAAACCCAATTGCGCAGGAGCCCCACCATCTCTTCACGCCTCTGCATAAAAACGACTTAATATTTCTTCGCTTACATTTTTTCACCAAAAATGTACCCCGAGAAGTAGAAAATGTTATTAACTAGATTAGAAAAATCTTATTAGATATCCGTTTCGATGTTAGTCTCATAAGACTGGATCTCTGACTTACGCCTTCTTTTACTTGTCCTGACTTCTTCATTACCCCCATCCTCTTGCTCGCCGACCCCGGGAGAGCCTGCCAACTGACGCGCTCTGCCACGGTGTGCCTTGAAGCGCCGTAGGTTCAGCGTATCAGTGTTTTGGGAACCCACGTGAAGTTGGCCCGTAAGGTTGGCCATTTCATCAGTCGAAACATTTGCCTGTGTCGAACGCATCTTCGCCAGTATTTCTCGAGGCACACGGCACGCCGCACGGAACGCCTGTGGATCGGCGAACTGGATACGTCGAAGTTCTAGATCGAAATTCGGCCCGATGTCGTAGAGTGAAATATTTTGAATCTTTTTGCTATATCCGGCCGCAAATGAGGGTTTTTGTACTGCGTAGTGGCGCATGCATAGTATGGTGTTCCCCTTTTCAGTTGGCTTGTTTTTCCCGAAACAATCGGTGGCTGGCGCGACGCATGCGTCCTCGCCGTTAATGGAACGTAAAGAGAAGAACAGCACACGATCACACCCATCCAGGTCGATTTCAGTATCGTTTCCGCCGGCAAAGAAATCCACAAGGAAGTTTTTAAGTCGAATGAAGACGGGGTTAGAGGAGAACTCGCTACCCTCGAAGACAAAAAAGGGCTTCCCACCGAGGGATCCCGCCTCGACCTCGGATGCACGTGACATATCTAAGCGATCTGCTGCAACAATGCCGGCCTCAACCATGTCGAGAATGTGAAAGTCGAACAGTCGGCCAAATGTCAGGTTGTTAGGGCGCTTCTTGCTATGCGATCCAAAGCAAAACAAGGAACAGTCGTTTTTGAATCCCAAAAACTCCAAATGCTGATAACCATCAAACGGAGTGAATCCATTTTTCTTCTTTAGCTTTTTGTTATAAGGCTTTGTGATAGCACTTAGATCCGTCATAGCGTCATTGGCTACCTCGTTGATGGAGGACCCCTTTAAAAAAAGAATGCATTTTGGATTCTCAACCACCTTTGGCTCGTATTTTTTTACGGCACGGCGAGTCACGGCATTCTTGGGCGGCCGTCTTTTAAAGTCCCCAACGCTAGACATTATGCTACTTCCACCTTAAACTGATAAAAATATGTGTGGAAAAAGCGATCCGCTTTGCTTTCCTTGTGTTTATCCTTTTGCTAAGCAACCGACTGTGCGTATCCAAAGAATAGAAAGTAGAAACAACAAAGAATAATCCATAACCCAAAAGGTGCAATATATTCTGGATAGTTCGTTAGTCGACAAGTTGGAAAAGCACTTGGGTTTTGAGGCCTTGTTCCCTCTCGAATGAAAGGCCACTAATGTGAAAACTGGATCACGGCTTTTTATGCGTGCAACTTCGTTATAAATGATACATCAACATCACAGGAAAAAAAATAACATAGGGTCAAACCCTCTGCCAGCTATAATGCGTTGTCGCTACGGTGAGGTCATATAATAGTAGTAACCTTATAGATGAACACAAATGGAAACAACGGTATTAAACTGATAAATCAGGAAACACAAACAGTGATAATATCATCAAAATTCCAGATTTTGCAGCTTCATTAAGCTTAAAGTTTTAAAAGGAACCTTTAGCTCCCCTAAGGTGGTTTGCCCCTTAAAGCATGTGACATGCTCAAGTGCTCTAAAACCTCATTAATAATGACTTTCAGAGTTAACCCTTCCCGCCATTTTCATCACTAGGGGGATTTTTCAGGGCTTTATTTAATTATGGTGCACTTTTGGATAGCTAAAGATGGGGAAAAACTACAATGTCTTGTTTCCTTACTCATAATCGTTAGGGCACCAGAACACATCAATCTGTCTAACGCGCTCGCCCAAATATGTGTCTCGCGTGCTAGTCTTCTGAGACAAGCATGGGAACGAGCGCCGATTCGTGAAACTTAATATCGTACCCATCAGAGGATTTGTTGATAAATACGTGGTAAGAAAAGCACACCAAAATAGGATGTTAATTTTTTCAGGATCCTAGTAAGGTGTCAATAAATTGAGATCTTTTTTCTTCCCTAAATCACAGCATTCTTTCTTGCGCAGCAACATTGTCATCACCTCCTTTGGATGCGAATCCATTCAATGAACCACAACATAAAAAAATGGGCACTTGCTCAGCGAGAAATACCTAGATGAAAAGACCCATCACGTGTCAAGGAAAAAAGGGTGTTTCATAGCATCCCTGGCCGAGATCCGTGACGTTGGATCTAAACTCAGGAGTTTCTCTAATATATTGATTGCTGCTTCACTTGACCGTGGCAGCGTTTCCCTTAAGCCGCATCCGGAGCGCTGCACAAAATTCACCTTTCCCCAGAGTGGTAGCTTCCCTACACCTGGCCATGAGGCCTCGGTTGGGGTTCCAAGGATGTCAAATATTTTGGAAATCTGATTAATGTCGCCCTCCCCTGGGAAAAATGCCCCTCCAAAGCCACGTAAGATTTCTGCCAAAATACATCCCGCGGACCACATATCGACCTCTGCGCCGTAGCGGCGCTGCCCAAACAGAAGCTCAGGAGCGCGGTACCAGCGCGAGGCGACCTCGTGGGAGAGGTCCTCCTCCTTCCACATCCGACTGAGGCCAAAGTCACCCAACTTCAGCACCCCCTCGGCGGACAGGACGCAGTTCGACGGTTTCACGTCCCGGTGGAGGATGCGCTGCTGATGAAGGTAATCCAACGCCGATAAAAGCATAAAGAAAAGCCGCTTCCCAAGCTGCAGGGGCATGGGATTGTAGAATGAGTGACTCGCTAGTAGATTCGCCAAGTCTGAAGTGCACCGCTCCATTACTATCGCCACAGAGGAGCGATAGGGAAACACTTCAATCACACTCACAATATAGGGATGGTAGACTCGCATCGCTATGAGAACCTCACGAGCAACCGGATGAGGGATGCCACTATCAATCGATGAAACACGCACGATTTTCAGCGCGACATGGGCATTCGTTTCTTTACATCTCGCTTCTCGCACGCTCCCAAACTGACCTTCAGCGATAACATCCCCTAAAATGTACTTTTCCATGTCCCACGCTTCCCCTTCTAGACATAGCTAAAAGTGATGTGAAATTAAGTGGGAAATGACGTAAAATCATATCACACAAGAAAGACAAACATATAGCATCGGTGGACTAGGCCTATTTCACTGGACACAAGAAGCATCTTATTAATTAAGCAGTCCCTTCCCCATGTATATTTAGTTCTCGGTTTGAAACTCGTTTCGACAGTATTTAATTGAATAGATATGAAGGAGGTTCGAGAAATCCGGCCACCTTTATGGTTAAATCGATGCTAGATTCATACTAGTATCAGGGGTCAAGACTTTGATTTATATCTTTTTGCTAAGAGCCTTTGCTCTCTGAAACATGCTTCTTTTCTTTTCTGATATCGTGGGCTGTTGGTCCGACAATGGGTTTTCATGTGTATTTGGTGTGGAATTGACGGTCTCGTCGGTTGAAGAAGTGTTGTGCACTTTCTCATTCAACATCGCTTCCGGAAGTTCGCCATTCGAATAAGTTTTACCAATACCCTGAGTACTATTATTAGTTGGAGGTAAAAATGCAAGGATATCCATAATATCCCCTGACTTTATAGACGTGCTAGGATTGTTTTCCGAAGATGACAACAATTTTTCGACTGAAACTAGTCTATCCTCTAATGATGCTTTTTTTTCTTCATTACAGGCTGATGGCTCCACCGCAGTTGAGACGTCGATTTCAGATAGGCGCTTTAGCTTTTGCCGCTCTTGCAGAAGATCCTTCCAGTAAGCATCAGCGGATTCATCTCTTGGATGAGGCTTCCCAGGTCGTTTCTGAACCGCCCTGGCGAAGTCGAACCTTCGGCTATAAATACCATTTGCGGAGGTATTCGAACCCTCATGGTCTGAGATAACCTTCAGAGGCTCTAAGTCATAATTTTGGTTCTTCTTGAGACCCTGTCGCTGATATCGCATGGTTTGTCGCATCGCGATGGAAAAATGAGGTTTCTCTAAAGGGTCGCCGTCGTCAGGGTTAGACTCTGCTCCACTCTCAGCATCATTGGAGTACGAAGAGCCCTCTGATTCCTCACGTCCATGAGTAAGTGGCAACGATCGTGTGGGGCCACCTGCAGAATTTTCTGATCTTTGAGTAGCCTTTTTCTTGAACGTTTTCAAGAAGCTAGATACGTCCATTATACCAGTGAATTAAGCGTAGTAGTTGAAATTCTAAATAAACTTTCCTGTAAGAGTCGTTTTAGAAGTAGAAAAAAAAAAAAGATAGAACACACACCAGAAGAAAACACTTCGTCAGGACAATATGCACGCCAACATTCTTTTCATTGTTATGTTGTAAACGTGCTTTCTCATCTTTACTTTTTTTGGGGGGGGAGGTGACGGGCCTACGACTGCGCCGAAAAGGTATACATCACATGATCTAGTAAATCGTTGCGGACGTCCTTAAGGACTCTAGAAGGGCTGCTATCATCACAAGTAGGCTTGTTTACATTCAAACGCGGAGTGAATGCCCATTTGACCGGTTTATGGCACAATTTCTCTGAATTTCGGTGTTCCACTGGCTCATCATCAGAATTGCTCAGCACGTCTTCAGACAACGCACGAGTCAGTTTTACAGGGAGTGATGCAAAGGCTTCCTCGATAAGGAGAGGATTTTCTTTGGAAAAAATAGGCGCACAACGCGTTTCCTGCGACTCATCTTCGGTGTTGGCGAAACGATGATCTGAGGCGAGCAGTGAAGATGCGGCGAAACAATGTTGCCCATAAGGCTCCACGGGGCCCTCAGAATATACGGACTGAGGCATCGGATAGAAGTCGGTCTCCGTCACTGACGGGGTATACGTATCGAAAATCTGCGGTTCTTGATGGACAGTTTCAGGGGGAGTAGGGGGGTGGATTGATTCATCCAATTCCTCACGGCTTTTGTTCGCAATGTCTATTACTAATTCAGGGAAATACTTGGGCACATAGGCGCAAAGGTCATGTGACCTCAATGGTATTTCTTTGATTCCAGCACCTGCTCCTGAAAAACCGTGAATGCCCCCGAATATTCCACATTCTAACCCTAAGTTAAGCGAATCCTTTTCCTCTTCAATAAAAGGCGCGCTCAGATCAAAGTCAGGTTCACGATAAAAGACAGGCAATAAGACATTTACTTTTGGAAGCGACACCGCCTTGGAGGGGTGCTGTTCGATGTGAGTAGCACTACAAACATCACCGGACAACTGTTTCTGCTTAGAGGCTATCTGTTGAAGCCTAGACCTCAGCAGCGAGCGCCTGAAAAGAATATTGACAAGGAACTTGAGTTGACTGAACAATACCGCCTTAGCGTTCATCGACGACAGAGGATGTGAGGGAAACAACATGCTTGCCTTCTCCTCCGAGTGGGCGTGGTTGTCCAAGTGAAGGCATACAAAATCGTATCCTAGCTTACTTCGCACCGGCATATTAAAAGCCGGATGGCTTTTCCGCTCGGCCTCGACAGCTTCATCACGCCTTCTTCTAGCTTCATCGAGGTCGTATTGAGTAGGTTTGGAAAGACCAAGCCCTCCTTGTGTCTCTAGAGAACTACTATTCATTCTAGTAATAACGCCCAAAGTGAAAAAACAAGCGCATATGTGGATATGTAGGCATAACTTTTAGCCTCAAATTGTATGGCAGCATAGATGGATAAAAGTAACACCTAAACACAAATGCATGAGATAGAAACATGCAGAATCAAGAATAGTGGAACTCCACAAACGCATCAAATACCCTCAGCAAATCAGCCCCCACCCCCCCAAAAAAAAAATGGAGCCGTGCGATCAGCTCCAGAGGATTCGACCGTAAGGTGTACATCTCTGGACTATAACACACAATAAATGACGCAGGCTGGGAATGTCACTACCACCACCGCAAATTGTTACGGCACCCATACAAGACGCCACGAAATGTCTACGACTCCAAGCGCAAACGTCCTGTATGGACTCTTCAAGCGCAAAGAAATAGTGGGCAGTAGAGAATAGATGTTCTAAATTTGTAAGACACTCTGGAAAATCTACCATTTCGTTTTCGTAAATTTGATTCAAAAGCTCTCCAAAGCTAGCTTCAGGGGAAGGCACGACACACAGACCAGCGCAGTATGAAATGTGATCAAACATAACGATCCCATGGCAAACCGGCATGACGCGGGTGCAGGCGTGGCCGAGATCGACAACGATCGTCGCCTCACTCGTGCCGTGGAGATGAGCGACGAAGAGCGGGAGGGACTCCGTGGAGACGACAGGCGGACACGGGTATCGCGACAACCCCAACGTTCCCAGGATCTTAAGACAAATGTATCCGAACTGGGGATGTTCGTCAGGATCAAAAAGCAGAATAACTCGCCCTGCCACATCCATCTGATATACGTACCAGAGAGAAATGAGAAACTTGCTCAAGCATTCCGTAAGTGAACTGGTGGTAAGAGTTTTATCGCACTTAAGTCTAGACACTAACTTTGGAGTTGTTAACACATAAGAGGAGAGAAACTGCTCCTCAGATTTCCAGAGTTTGGTTGTTTTGGCTCCAATATTTAAAAAGAAAGTGTCGCTGGGGTCCATGAACACTTCTAAACTTTTGAAAGGCTTCTATTTTGTCTTGAGGCCACATCTATAAAGGAGAAAAGTGAATAAGAATTAAATCGTAATTATAGAGAGGGAGGGAGAGAGCAGATAATCCAGCATGCAATGTGTGTCCACTCTACTAAAGAATTAACCGCTGAACAAAGATGCCGAGGGTCACGAAAACTCTCAGCAAAGTCCTTATTTTTGTTAGATCTTCAACCGTAATTTACTTACACAGCCTTTTTAGACAACAATGAGGGATTAGATGACGAGACTTTTGCTTTACTCTCTGTATCGTTCGAAGGGGTGCCAGTTAATGAAGTAAACATCGGAAGGTTGGTCGACAACGCCACTCTATTGATCTTAGGGGTTATTTTTGGTGGCAAAAGTTCTTTGAGTATTGCTCTTTCCTTTCGCTTACGGCCATAAATACTATCTTTTAGCGTGCGCTCCATTTCAGTGACGGGCGCACGCTTCGATTTTTTCTTTCGAATTCTTTGCTTGCCGTGCCGGCCTGGCATTCTGACACTGAGAACAACCTATTAAGGGAATATACAATAATGGGCTTTATGAGTCGAACTAACCGTATAAAAAATATTGCTTTGTGTATTATTTAGTTGGGACCTTGTCGATGAAACAATAATATTTCATTGGAAGAAACGCAGGAATAAAATTTCCAAAATTACTACGCTAAAAATCCTCAATTACTTAAGATATCATACAACACAAATCGTACGTTAAACTCATTTCAACAATGTTGCGTCCAAAGTGGTACTTCTCTTGTCCCTTCGGTAAAGACAGTGAGCAACGCAACAAGCTAAAGCTTTGCTGCGTTCTTAATATTATTATAAAAGATCTGACGCATACCGAACCCAGCTCTTGTTTGAAAAAACAAGGAGCTGTACATAAGGGCAAAGAAAACTCCCCCGACAAAACTTCGATTTTCTAGCCTAATGTTGATCGCCCGGTGTGTTTCAGTACGCCCTGGTTCGATATACTCATTGTGTAAACATATTATGAGATAGAATGTACCAAACAATGTGAGAGGTATGCGCTTAAAGAGAGGTGTGTAGCACCTCGGCAGTATCAAGGAGAGTGTGGCGAACCCAGCGAAGGCACCATTACTTGCACATGCGTAGTTGGCAATGTTGTTAGTATTTTTCTCGCTCGCCTCCATGCTGAATAGGTAGCAGAAGCTAGAAAGAGACCCGGCCCCAACAAATAAAAAGATCGAATGCCTCCAACCAATAACAGAGCTGATGGGTTTAACCAGAAGCCAAGACGCAACACAGTTGACTATGCAGTCTCTTAGAGTATGAACATAGAAACAGGAGAGTGGGTTTGGAAAAGGGTTTCCAGCTCTTGTAAGAAAAAGCTCCTGGACAAATGTGGCTTTCGATTCGCGTAGCGCCCACGATGAGTGAGTGAAACTATTGTAATGACAGAGCATAAGTAAGATTTGTTCAGACATTAATGTCGTAGCCAAAAATGAAGAGGCAAAATCTCCTAAAAGCACTCCCTTCAACATAGAAAGACCCATTGCTAGCCCAAAATCCCCATTCTCCAAGAGAAATTGTGAAAGCTAAGGAAATGTAGTAGGATTGGACAGATAGCAATTCTTGTTGAGACCTTCTGTTTCCCTTTAAAAATAGTTATGGAGAATGAAAGACCATTTCAACCAATCTAGAGTCAGCTTCATGAACATATTATATACTATAAGCCAAATATGACCGCGTTATGTTCACATTTAACATTCACTCAGTGGCTAATATTTGCATTAATTTCGCATTTCAGTTTGAAATTTATTAATAGTCATTATACTATACGAGTATTTATATATCCATATATACATATATATATATATATATATATATATCTTGTTTTTTTTTGAGAAGTAAGAAAAAAATTTCCTATAGCAAGGTTCATAGCATTGATTTGGATACAAGCATATTTCTTGCGACACTCCTAAATCCATTGTAAAACACACTTTACGATTATATGATTCTAAAATAGTTTAAATCATTCCCTAAATTTTCGCTTGAAACCGCCTTGGCATAAAAAGAACCTCGGAGACTTTATGTAAACGGAAAAGTGACATTAAACGAACGTCCTTGTAGTTTGGAATATCATGAACATGCTTGAATCCCTCGAGTTCAATTATTTCACACATAGCAATTGCCTCCAACACCTTCGACCCCACCACCTGAACACAATCCAAAGCAGCTTCCAGCGTCCGTCCATTTGCGATGAAGTCGTCAACCACAACCACACGTGAATCAGGAGAAAGGCTTCCATTTCGCACGAAAAGTGGCGGGTTCGGTGCCTTTTTATTTTCTCCCTCCATAACGAAATCGCCCTCCGTTAGGGCCCCGCGTCGCAATGGCAGGAATGGGATTCCAAGCACTAGGGCAAGGGGAGCCCCAATGTAGCACCCACAGGAATCAATGCCAAGGATATGCGTAGGCCCGTCAGAGCCCATCGCGCGGTAACGCGTTGCGAGCCAGTCAATAATAGTCTTGAATAGCTCCGGGCTTTCGGTGATGGTGGTCACATCGTAGAGTGGCTTGTATTCCTTTGAGGAATCCAGCTTTCGTAATCGAGTCGACTTTTCACGTAGAGCAACATACACGGGATGGCTTTTTTTTAGTGTGAAGTGGTTGGGAGAAATTTCGACAAGTCCATCCATTATTAACTTTTGAATGCCTCTTGGTTGTAAGTATTAATGTGAGGTCTTCCTTTTTTTGTATAGTAATTTTTTTGCCGTTTGAACCTGAATATATTCGGAACTGCGCTGAAAAATAAAAGATGAGATTTGCTTTTGTTTGAAAAAAAAAAAGGAGATAAATAAAATTCTTAAAGAAACTCATTTTTTGTTTCGTATTATCTTTTTTGCAATATTTTAATGAAGAGACATCAGAGAAATTTGTTCAACACTGTTCAGTACGAAATTAAGGAAATATTCTGGGTATTCAACTTTAAGGAATTATTTATCTTGGTTAAAATACTGCTAATAAATCAGATATAATATTCGTTTCAACTTTTCAAAATATTTCAAAAAAATATATATTTTTATTATAACTAAATCGTGTAGCTTAAATTTATGAAAGATTTAAATTACAAAAATATTAGTTCAAAAGTGGAATTTTTTCCCCGTATTTTATTACACGTGGCCCATCGTAGTTCTTGCAGTCACCACAGTTTTCATCATCAAGCGCTTCGTACAAAACGAATGAAAAGATGGAAACATCCTTGAAGCGACCATCGATGGAAGTGTGGGCCTTTTCGATGCAGCCAAGAAACGGTACTGCGAGTATGCAGCAGACTTCAAGTGCCCTTGCTCCACACGCGTGGACGAGCTGCAAGCCGGAAACCAATGTGCCACCGGTTGCGAGTACATCATCAATAAGTACTACACGTGAGCCCTTGGCGACGCTTCCAACACGAATCGTCATTTCCTCAGGCTCATCCTCCTTGTAGTCTTTATCATAGGGTTCACTTTGGATGATTACACCAGCGTTCTTCTTTGACTTGCGTAAAAGAACAAACGGAATCCCCAGCTCAATAGCAATCGCTGGGCCAAACAAAAACCCTCGAGCATCGAACCCCAAAATGTGCGTGGGAGGCTCAGGGAGGTTACGGTAGCGGTTCACAAGAAAATCACGGATCTGCTTCATGCAGGAGGGTGACTCTGTGATGCTGCCAACGTCGGCAAAGCGCGGGATATCACGTGGAGAGAACTTGGGAGTGTACCAGCGATACGTCATCTTTATTTCTTTGGCCAACGGGTCACTCTCCTCGAGGACAAAAAAACGGGGGCTTACCTCCTTAACAGACATTGCTTTTAAAAGTATTTTTTTAAGAGAATAGTTGAAACTTTTGTCTTCATGTAGCATGATGCCAATCAGATAGGTAAAAAGAGAAAAGACATTTGTAAATATGTGTGAGTGTATTCAAGGTTTTCTCAAATAGACTCGCAAAAAGGCTAGAATACATTGGTTAGGGTAATGTGCGGAACGTTACCACCTCGCAGTATTGATAAGATAATTTACCCTGTACCCCTCCTCTCTCTCTCTCTCTCTCCTCCCTTCCCTTT